TGTGTGTGTGTGTGTGTGTGTGTGTGTATATAAATATATATATATACACACACACATACATACAGTGTGTATATGTGTGTCTTGAAATTGTTTTGCTTATAGACAATGTCCCAAAGTTGGTCACCGCCAAAAGTGTATTCTTTACTGAAAACGTCATTAGACAATATACGATTAAACACTAACATTCTGTAATTGCATGCTCACTTTATTGATGCACAAATATATTCAAACACTACATATCGAATAAAAACATGTTTAACAGCATAAAAATGCATTGTACAGCCTATAACAGACGAAGTGGTGGTTTGAATGAAAGCTAGGCGTCTCCTCCTCTGTCTCCCCGCCCTCGGAGGCGTTTCAAAGCCTGGAGAGTAATGACCAAATATTGGTCCCAGCTGATGAAGATTGCACTGTCTTCCCTCTGTAAAAGCAGGTAACTAAAATTGATATATTTACTTATGATCGGGAGAGATCGGAGATTATTATACGGAAGCCGTTTTAAGCGTTTTCTGCCTCGTTGTAGGTTGCTGCGTTTTATTTGAGGGCCTCAGTTTTAGTGACGGACTGAATAATATCAAGCCGCTTTTATATCTGTGACAAACAATAGTGTGAGTCGGGTTTTTAATTTTATCGTCGCATATCAGGTTGGATGAGGCGGCAAGGATTAATTTTGACATTTCAAGCCTTGTGTTTGTTGGGAAAGCTGTGAAAATTGCGATATTTGTTTGAATCTCGTGATGGTTTAAAGCTGTTGCAGGACTAACAGACAGTCAACCAGGGCCGCGTATGTGCTAACAGCTAACCGGTATATTTAAATTTAGCCATATTTACACTTCGAAGCTAAACAAACCATACACGGTAATGGTTTTAGAAGGCTGTAAGGAGTAGATTTGCTATGTCCTGATTGAAGTAGGACCGTATTTAAACGTGTTATGCTGCAAAAAGCGACGGCCCGAGCGACAGCAGCTGCGGGTCACTAACGGCTCTGCTGCACCCCGATAGTGTTCTCACATGTGATGCGCTGCAAACCACTGTAGCGTTTTTAAAACCCTCAAACGACTTCATTTATCATTATTTATGCTGCTAAGTCATTTAAACGGATGCTATTGCGTATAACTGCCCTTGTTTGCTTATTATGTTTGTTTTGGGCGGGCTGAATTGGCGGTAGTTTCTGCATGCATCATTCTTCTACACGTATCTTGTGCATATTTTGCGTTTTCCTCACTTAGCCTGGGCTTTTGTGTTTAAGGATTTACTTTTCGGCTTGGATCGATATGTAATATGAAACTAGCCTCTTCTGGGATATGCATTAGTGGATGTTGCTCTGCTTTGGCTGCAGAACTGGATGATGTGTGCATTTGCTGTGAAGTGAATCAAGAATTTCTTCTGTCTGACTGGAGGTTGCTGTTTAAATGCATGTGGAGGATGACAAAGTTATTGTGACAAGCTGGTCAAGTTTCTCATGCCATCTTAATTACATGTGTTCTGAAAGCTTTAGATGTTTGTTGCATTCATCAGATGAGCTCAAAGATGTCTAATTAACATTAAACTCTAACATTCTGCATTTATGTGGTCTTAAACTGTAAATGTACATATTTACGGCAGAAAGCTGTGATGAAGTGTAAAAATTAGTGTGATTGCAATAGACCTTTTTTTTTGTTCTGCTTTGTATGCTGTGCGAGCAACCAAAGTTTCCCCTTTTTAGTTGAATAGATAAGACCGACAGAAAACAGCCATGGGGGATGACAGTGAATGGATGAAGTTACCCATCGACCAGAAATGTGAACACAAGGTGAGTGATCCCGGCTACTTTTATATTTTGACCCATCCAAAATCCCCTGATGGTGTAAGAAGACCAGCTTTTGTGGTTGTAGAACTAAACTGTCAGAGGTTCGCTCATCCTAATTGTTGCCTTCATAGATGAATGCATGCAAAGCACCGAATTAAACTCAAGCAATGTCTTTATGGAAATATAATGCCTATGTTGTCAGCAATTTCATTTACAAGTGAACAACCGCTTTGCCATATGGTTGCCACAAAGTCATGTTAAGTCATTTTGCATCACTTACACCCAAAAACTCATTTTGAGGTTTTTAATAAAAAGAAATTCAGTTTTCAACTGTTTCTGCTCCAAACCACTGCAAATCCTGGACACTAAAATCATTTTTAGATGTTTATTTGATAGAATTAGGTTTAAAATGTAATATAACACACACTGTTCAAAATTAATGTTGTTAAAATAAGTCTCTTATTCTCAACAAGTCGGCACTTATGTTTAAAAAATTAAAATTGTGAAATTTCGATTTAAAATTAACTGTTAATATTTTTAAATGTAACTTATTCCTCTAATGGTAATGCTGAAGTTTGTGGAGACCTTATTTAGTCTTAAGTGTCACATGATCCTTCAGAAATCATTCTGATATGCTGATTTTGGTGCTCAAAAAACATTTAGCAATTTTTTTTTCGGGATACTTTGAATAGGAAATTCAAAATTTAGCATTTATTTGAAATGGATGTCTTTTGTAACATTAAAAATGTCTTTACTGTCACTTTATCAATTTAATGCGTCCTTGCTAAACAAGTGTTCATTTAAATTTTTTTTTTTTTTTTTTCCCCGATGTACTAACTGAACCCAAACTTTTGAACATGAAAATAGTATATAAAGGTTTTTTTTGTAGAGTTAATTTTTCTAACTAGCTACTGGAGAACTTCCCTGAGGTGAATGTGATGTTAGGTGGCAGGTTGTTTACATGTGACGTCTTCCTGCGATTTAAACTGATTGGACGATTGCATGATAGATGACGCGTTCCAGCCAGTTGTTGCTGCTTTCAACATACCTTCTGATTTTCATTCATTTTTATTCTTGCTGGAATTTGTAGTAAAGTGGCGGGATAATCGGGGGGAGATGGTAGTGAATAGTGCTTCTGCTTGAGATCATCTGGTTCAATCTGACAGATTTTTAAATTGCTTTGTCACACCACATTAAAGAAGTTTTGCTTGAGTTTCTTGATAAAAATTGAGTTTAATAGCTGGTACTTTGTTTTATCAACCTGAGTTTTTGCATATACAGCACATTACCACTCAGGATGATAAAGCATTTCATATACATGGTGACCTTTAGTTCATGTGTCCTGTATTATGAATAATGGTGGTTAAACATGTCAGGCCCTGAAGAAAGTGGGTCAGTTACATCAACTCACGAGCTCATTTATTTGGTTGTTCGTTGTCATGATTGATCTTACGGTTTCCCTTAGATTTGGAAAGCGAGATTAAATGGATACGAGGAAGCATTGAAGCTCTTCCAGAAGATAGAAGACGAGAAGAGCCCAGAATGGGGCAAATACCTTGGGCTTATCAAGAAATTTGTAACAGATTCAAATGCCGTAGCCCAACTCAAAGGACTGGAGGCAGCACTTGCTTTTATCGAGAATGCACAAGTGGCTGGCAAGTAAGTAGTCCCATTTTGTCCCAAAATGCCAAGAAGCACCATAGAAGTAGTTTACGCAACAGAAGTCTTTGAAAATAGTGCTAGTCGCTAAGTTTCCAGCGAGTTTCACGAACCACAGATTTTGTCCTTGGAGGATTTAATGACTGCGTTTGCTTTTCCCTCGATCCCTGAGCAGTTCTTTGTTTCTGAGACCTGTTTTATATGGGATAACGTTTTGTAAGAGCTTTTTGTTTACAACTGAGTTTTGGAACAAAGCAGAAATGTGATAACTGGTGAAAGTCTATTTCTGGATTGAGTGAGAGTCATCAAGCAAAGTAGGTCTTGTTTACAGGAACACGGTAGCTTTAAAGGGGTCCTATTATGCTCTTTTACAAAGTCTTGATTTTGTTTTGGGAGTGTACTAGAATGTACTTTGAGAGTGTACAGGCTCTCATACTAGGTTGTTCGAAAAACACATTCTTTTTCACATATTTTCCGTTATTACAACACCTCTCTCCCCAGTCTGGCATGAACGGCTTGAATAGTTCCTGTATCAAATGAAGGCCCGCCTTCTGAAATACGAAATGTGCTGTGATTGGTTAGCTGGGCCAGTGTGTGTTGTGATTGGCAGCAGTTGGTGCCTGGTCGGGAAATGTCATGCCCCTTACGATAGCCACCTGTGAGCTTCAGTGTAAATATTGTGTCAAAATCAAATAAATTTGAGCGCGATTTAAACCCGGATGATTGTAACAACTTTAAGTTTGTCTGCCTTGGGAAAGCTAGCGTGTCTCCGACTTGGTGATAACACTCGTTGCCTTCTCTAGTGCTCAACCAGGTCTCATCCCATTCGTCAATATTTGTGATATCACAAATCCCGGAAAATATGCGTTGTAGTCCAAACGAGTCGTTCGTTGTAGTTTTTGAAAAGTGATTTCTGTTAAATAAAATATCTCCTTTTGAAGTGGACTTTGAACTTTGTAACTTTGCAGATCTTTTTTTATGCTCAAACGGCAACATTACAGACTAACTAAAGTTGAAGAAGTGAAAAAGCATAATAGGACCCCTTTAACCCATTCAGAAAACATGGCAATGTTTCTCATTTCCTAATTTTTTCATGAGGAACACTGCGATTCCTTAAATTTAGACATGCATCACAGGGAAAAAAAGGCCTACATTTCTGCTGCTCTGGGCACTGCTTTCCATTATTGAGCTGATGTCTTTGTGACTGTCTAAATATAGCCAGATAGAATCCGGTCAGTCATTGTTAATGGTACAATAAACTCTTTTGTAGAGTATCGATTGTTTTAATTGAGCTTTGCTAAAGGAACGATGTGAAACCAAGTAACTTATTCTATGATATTTTAATGTGATTTACTCGTTTTGCTTTGAATATTTTCTATTGAAGTAAGAGAATTATTTTTAGCTATCTGTGACACCAAAGTTGTCTTCAGGTTGGTGCATTAAATGGGGAACGAACATGCTTGCTTGAATGCGCAATGTAGAAGCATTTTCTAGAGAATGTTGATTTGTGGAGCCTAGTATCTATATGGAGAGTCTTGTCTTGCAGGACAACTGGGGAAGTGGTTTCTGGTGTGGTCGGCAAAGTCTTCAACCAGCCCAAAGCGCGAGCCAAGGAGCTGGGAACTGATATATGCCTCATGTACATAGAGATCGAGAAAGCAGAGGTGGTCCAGGATGAGCTGATCAAAGGACTGGATAACAAGAACCCCAAGATTGTTGTCGCTTGCATTGAGACGCTAAGGAAAGCACTTTGGTGTGTAGGCAATTTTTAAGGACTGAAGGAAATGCGGTAGTCAAATTGTGACTGACTTATTGGCACTTATTCAGCATAAAATACTTGAAAATTTGTTATTTTTCAGTGAATTCGGTTCGAAGATCATAACTCTCAAGCCTGTTGTGAAAGTGTTGCCAAAATTGTTTGAGTCTCGAGAAAAGGCCGTTCGAGATGAGGCCAAATTGCTGGCGGTGGAGATCTATAGATGGATTCGTGATGCGCTGCGAACTCCCCTCCAGAATATCAACTCTGTACAGGTGAGACTGCTTTCCTCCATTAAGTTTTCAAATACATAATGTGTTAATTTAAAAATGCGCATTGAGATATTCGTATAGATTGGATCTTTTGAGTTTGAGAGACATTCATCTCTCCATGTTAATGGTGTATACAGGTTGTAATATTACTTATTTGATCCTTTTCTTTCAGTTGAAAGAGTTGGAGGAAGAATGGGTGAAACTGCCAAATGCAGCTCCTAAGCAGACCAGGTTCTTGCGCTCTCAGCAGGACCTTAAGGCCAAGTTTGAACAACAGCAGGCTGCAGGAGGAGATGAGGCGGACGGTGAGAATACAGCTTCTGCACAGCAGAAAGCAGTCAGTGGTTCAAGACAGTAGTGAAAATTCAGCATTAAATTTGAACTATCATGAAGACAATATTGATAGTTATAATTTTTAGAATTTTTTTTTTTTTTTTAAATCTTGTTTTTATAACTGACTGTCATAATATGCCATAGTAATGAATTAGTTACCAGAACAAAGCCAGGAGGCTTTCTTTAACAACTGTGATTAGTTGTCATTTTACTCTTACTCAAGTAGTTTTTTGGACAAGTACTTTTACTCTACTCACACTACATTTTTTGGAAGGTAATGGTACTTTTACTTGAGTATATTTTTTCAGTACTCTTTCCACCACTGGTTGTCAGTGAGGAAAAGCCATTTTACTGTGACTAAATGAGGCTTGTTATTTTACATTTTAAGAATTGTGCTGGTTTGTACAAAGCCAGCTGTATTTTCGTAACATTTAAAAGGAAATATGTGACCCTGGACCACAAAACCAGCCATAAGGGTAAATTTTTTTAAATTGAGATTTATACATAATCTGAAAGTTTAATAAATAAACTTTCCATGGATGTATGGTTTGTTAGGATAGGACAATCAGTCAGGGGCTGTCGTGGCCTAATGGATAGAGAGTCAGACTTGTAACCCAAAGGTCGCGGGTTCGAGTCTCAGGTCCAGCAGGAATTGTCGGTGGGGGGAGTGAATGTACAGTGCTCTCTTCCGCCCACAATACCACAATTGAGGTGAGACCCTTGAGCAAGGCACCAAACCCCCAACTGCTCCCCGGGCGCTGCAGCATTGGCTTCCCACTGCTCCGGGTGTGTGTTCGCCGTGTGTGTTCACGGTGTTTGTGTACACTTTGATGGGTTAAATGCAGAGTCACTTCACTTCACAATATTTGGCCGAGATGCAACTATTTGAAAATCTGGAATCTGAGGTTGCAAAAAATCTAAATATTGAGAAAATTGCCTTTAAAGCTGAACAAAAGAAGTCCTTAGCAATGCATAATACTAATCAAAAATTAAGGTTTAATATATTTATGGTAGGAAATTTACAAAATATTTTCATGGAATATAATCCTTACTTAATATCCTAATGATTTTTGGCATAAAAGAAAAATCGATAATTTTAACCCATACAATGTGTTTTTGGCTATTGCTACAAATATACCCATGTGACTTAAGACTGGTTTTGTGCTCCAGGGTCACATATAAATAATTTTTATTACAGTTTCTTTTTTTTAAGTATTTAACTTGAATTTCAATTTCTGAATTTAGGAGACGATGATGAGGTTGAAGCTGCTCCGGTGGATCCTTATGAGCTTTTGGAAGCTGTCGAGATCCTTTCTAAACTTCCTAAAGACTTCTATGAGAAAATTGTGAGTCAGAACAACATACCACTGATCTGTTTAAATCATATTGGGTTTTGTCAGTTTCATTCCTGCGTAATTTTACTTTCTCATTACAGGAAGCAAAAAAATGGCAGGAGAGGAAGGAAGCATTGGAGGCAGTGGAGGCTTTGACTAAGAACCCAAAACTAGAGAGCGGAGACTATGGGGACTTGGTTCGAGCGCTAAAAAAGGTAACAGTCCTAGTTGGATTCTGGGTAATGGGATATCCTGTGTGAGCAAGGCCATTAGAAAATACTCCCATTTGTTGTTCTAGGTTATTGGGAAAGATGCCAATGTAATGCTAGTGGCCATGGCAGCCAAATGCTTGGCTGGACTGGCAACAGGATTGAGGAAGAAGTTTGGGACATATGCAGGTCATGTAAGTGCTCACCATGACGTAAAATGAACTCCGGAAAAAAAGATAAGCAAATCATGATGGTTGTTCAAAATAAATAGACAGCCGTTTAAAAAATTTTTTTTTTTTTTTTTTTTTTGAAGGGGGTGCCAACCATCTTGGAGAAGTTCAAGGAGAAGAAACCTCAGGTGGTTCAGGCCTTGCAGGAGGCCATTGATGCAGTCTTCCTTACTGTGAGTATTCAAAATGCCAATGGTGTCAATTGACAAATGATTTGAAATTTGATCATTTATTAATAACCTGGAAAATGGCAATTGTATTGCAGACATCCTTGCAAAACATCAGTGAGGATGTTCTCTCAATGATGGACAACAAGAACCCATCCATCAAGCAACAGGCTTCACTGTTCCTCGCCAGAAGCTTCCGTCACTGCACCCCGAGCATGTTGCCAAAAAGCGTTCTGAAGCCCTTCTGTGCAGCGTTCCTCAAGGTACAGGTTTCTCACCAGTCAACGCACTGAAACACTTAATGAAACATGTCAGTGCTGGTGTCTAGGTCTTGATATTGGTTGTCCTAATAAGATGTCCCTCTTCTCTCTGTGCAGCAAGTGAATGATTCTGCTCCAGAGGTTAGAGATGCTGCTTTTGAGGCTTTGGGGACGGCCATGAAGGTAGTAGGGGAGAAAGCAGTTAACCCATTCCTGGCTGATGTTGACAAACTCAAGTTGGACAAGGTAAAAATGTGTTTCGCTGTGCATTATGACATTTAGGTTGCAGTTTTTCGAGGCACATTAATACTAATATAATACTGATAACCGATAAATTACAATTTATTTTAGTCTTAAAAAAACAAATTGTAAATGCTTCAAGTGAATTTAGGCACACTATGTACAGTTGGATTTGCCAAAGTGTTTTTTTGTTTGTTTTTCAAAGATTAAGTGTAAAAATTGGGCAAATGGACATGCATATCCTATATTGTTTAATAGATTTATTGAATGTCTTGTACCGAGAGATTCATTACATTTTAAATGTTGTGAATTATAGTTAACTTTGTAATATGAGGTGGTAAGTTTTAGATAATTTGTATTTTAAAAAATTCTTTTTTTTTTGTTTAAATTGTTTTTAAACTGTTGGTCTATTTCATACTGACGTTCTATTGTAACGGCAAAATAATTCAGTGTTTTTAATGTCAATTGTCCTTTAAGAACCTGCAATGCTGAAAGGTCAATAAAACAATCAGCCTTTTGTTGTTTTTGTATCAACTTGGAACCTTGTAAAATTTCTGAAATTGCATAAAACCAGCCAGGTGAAGGAGAACGACCCACACCTTTGTACTAACTAGAGCCCGACCGATATATCGTTTTGCCGATATGAGCCTGTTGCCGATATATCTGTATCGGCGAATATGCCGTCGATATTAATTTTTTTTTTTACAGAACATATAACGCAGATAAAATGCTTGAAATGGTGTAATTACTTAGTTTGTCCAGCAGAGCGTGCTCCACTTTTTGCTACTGGCGACCTGAATGAAACGCTTTAAAGCTTAAGTCTATGGAAAACCATTGAAACTGGAAAGTGTCCAAACTTTTGACTGGTACTGTACTATAATATACACAAAGAATATATATAATTTTTTTTTTACTCCCTAGTATCGGCCCCAAAAAACCCATATCGGTCGGGCTCTAGTACTAACTGCAAGTTTTCCATGCAAATGTGTATCAAGGCAGTCAGCGAACAGACTGTGGGTGGAACTAGTGCAAAAGTTCATTACTCTTCCTTCTCGTTTCATGCATACTAGATAAAAGAATGTGCTGATAAAGTGGAGCTTGTTGGAAAGAAAGGAGGCGGTGGAGGAGAGAAGAAAGAGAAACCTGCTGCAAAAGCACCTCCACATGTTGAAGCACCTGCCAAACCATCCGGGCCTCCTAAGAAAGCTGCTCCTGCAAAGGTATCATCAGTTCTTATTTTGTTAAATCAGTTATTTTTACGCAAGGCAAATTAATTTGTCTCATTCTTTATGAACAGGCTGCAGGACCTCCCAAGAAGGGCAAACCTGCCTCTACCCCAAGTGCAAAGTCCAAGAAAGCTTCAGACACAAAGGAGATTGTTGAGACTGAGTTATCTGTATGTCTGCAATTTTACATTGACGCATTTAATATTTTATCGAACTTGACCGAAAGGTGATGGTATAATGCAATACTGTCATGTAATTGTTATTTATGTGTTAATCAGCCTGACGTTTGTGAGGAGAAGGCTGCCGCTGTGCTCCCAGCCTCCTGTATGCAGCTGCTGGACAGCGGTAACTGGAGAGATAGTGACACCAGTCAACACTTTCACTTCAGTAAGGAGGTCTCTTGTTCAGGCAGCAGCATTCAAGTGTTGTCTTATTCGACCATAAGTGCCCTGCGAAGTGGACTTCACATGAAATTCTGAAATGATTCCAGTTCCAAGGGAACATACACGTTACATTCAAGGGGCATTAAAGTGCGCGAGACGTGAATTTATATTGTATTTATTTACAGCGGTATATTATGTCACACTTCACACTTCTCTAGTAAGTTTCGTCTGTGTGTGAAGACAGTAGCGCAAATCCGTGAATGAATGTTTCGAAGTATCAAGGCAGTCAGCGAACAGACTGTGGGTGGAACTAGTGCAAAAGTTCATTACTCTTCCTTCTCATTTCATGCATAAATAGATAAAAGAATGTGCTGATAAAGTGGAGCTTGTTGGAAAGAAAGGAGGCGGTGGAGGAGAGAAGAAAGAGAAACCTGCTGCAAAAGCACCTCCACCTGTTGAAGCACCTGCCAAACCATCCGGGCCTCCTAAGAAAGCTGCTCCTGCAAAGGTATCATCAGTTCTTATTTTGTTAAATCAGTTATTTTTACGCAAGGCAAATTAATTTGTCTCATTCTTTATGAACAGGCTGCAGGACCTCCCAAGAAGGGCAAACCTGCCTCTACCCCAAGTGCAAAGTCCAAGAAAGCTTCAGACACAAAGGAGATTGTTGAGACTGAGTTATCTGTATGTCTGCAATTTTACATTGACGCATTTAATATTTTATCGAACTTGACCGAAAGGTGATGGTATAATGCAATACTGTCATGTAATTGTTATTTATGTGTTAATCAGCCTGACGTTTGTGAGGAGAAGGCTGCCGCTGTGCTCCCAGCCTCCTGTATGCAGCTGCTGGACAGCGGTAACTGGAAGGAGAGACTTGCTAGCATGGAAGAGTTTCAGAGGGTGACTGGATTTTGTGTCTCTACCTTTTGTGCTGTTTCAGCTTATTTGTAATGATTTCAACTTGAGGAACATGCTCTAAACTTGAATGTGTTCTGCTTAGGCTGTGGAGCAGATGGACAAATCTGAAATGCCGTGTCAGGCTTTAGTCAAAATGCTGGCTAAGAAACCTGGATGGAAAGAGACCAACTTTCAGGTAGTACTCTTAACCATGTAGGGCTGTTCTTAATTCTCCGCGTTTGGCTTTCGATCTGGTGCTAGTTTCAAGTATCTTTCCGTCTCCAGGTCATGCAAATGAAGCTCCACATTGTGGGTTTAATCGCACAAAAAGGATCGTTCTCAAAGACATCTGCATTGGTGGTTCTGGATGGTCTGGTTGATAAGATTGGAGACGTGAAGTGTGGAAGTAATGCTAAAGAGGCTCTCACTGCGATCGGGGAGGCCTATTCTCTGCCGTGGACTGCTGAGCAGGTTAGTATTTGTGGTGTAGGACTGTTTCTTCATTTTAAACTAGCAGGAAATTAGAAAAATAGTTTCCAGTTTGCAAATTTTTATTTTTAAAAAGTTATTTGTGAAATTTATTTTCAAATAATATAATAATAGCAGTAATAGTAAAAATAATAGACATGTTTAATATTGGATCCTTATTAAATGTCTAAAATAGTTGTAATAAGTGTAGTACATAATGCTTATTGTTCTACTTTTACTTTTATTATAAGTAGTAATTGAAGTGTAAACTTGTTGCTGTTGTATCATTGTTATAGACGTATTACTATTAGTGATACTAACAGTGGTTTATTTGATTATTAAACGTCATTATTATGGCATAATAATAATTTGTATTACGATTTAAATAATTGCCCTTAATTTTCAGGTTGTCTCGATGGCTTTCACTCAGAAAAACCCTAAAAACCAAGCAGAGACGTTGAGTTGGTTGGCCAATGCCATGAAGGAGTTTGGATTTGCAGGGTGAGCAGTGTATACCTGAGCTTTTTTCCCTTCATGCAGTTAATCTTTTCCTCAATTATGACTCTGAATCTAATCCCCCTCAATCCAGAATAAATGTCAAGGCGTTCATCAACAATGTCAAAACTGCTCTGGGTGCCACAAATCCTGTGAGTAGATTTCTGAGTCATGGTTTCAGTATACGTAACCAAACATCTGTTGTGCATTTCAAGTGGATAGGCATGTTTATTGGTCCCTTTATGTGCAGCACTTACTAGTGATAGAGATTAATAAACATTATTTGCCTGGAATATTATGACTTTATCTTGAGGATAAACTACACTGCAAATCCTGATATAATTGTGTGTAATGAGCTGTGTTCATGTTAACTTCAGGCTGTGAGGACATCAGCGATCACTCTGTTGGGAGTCATGTATTTGTACATGGGCGCTCCCCTTCGCATGTTCTTTGAAGACGAAAAACCAGCCCTCCTTTCACAAATTGATGCTGAGTTTGAAAAGGTAAATATGCCCTTTTGAAAAACAGTATTTGAAAGTGGCCATTTCAAAGAGTTGCCTTGACCATCAGTGGTTTTTGGCTTGCATTAAAACCTGTTTTATGTACATAATCGTTTGAACCACACCTACTTATTCATTGTTTTAATTTGGTATTGCCAGTCCCTCCCTACCTAGCTTATGTCTATATAATAGGGGTGTGTGTTTGTGTATGTTTGAAAGTGGCCATTTCAAAGAGTTGCCTTGACCATCAGTGGTTTTTGGCTTGCATTAAAACCTGTTTTATGTACATAATCGTTTGAACCACACCTACTTATTCATTGTTTTAATTTGGTATTGCTAGTCCCTCCCTACCTAGCTTATGTCTACATAATAGGGGTGTGTGTTTGTGTGTGTTTTTTTTTTTTTTTTTACTGCTTCATTGTCTGTAATGACCATGTTTTGTCCATTAGTTACACCTTGTTTATCAAAGCAGGTTGTTTGCTAGGGCACAATTTTAATTTCACACTACTGATGTATTTGAAACCAATTTCAAAAGGCATTTGTTGACTGATTTTCTTTGATTTATTGATTGTGAGTTAAATAACCAAGAACATAAATGAAATAAACTGCAAGTAAAAGAAAACAAAAGCAAGTAAATAAATCAGTAAATAAGAGAATAATAAAATAAAAGAATTAGAAACAATACGATAGTAAAACAAGTAAATAAAAGAAAAAAACAAGAAATAAAAGAGATGAAAGGTCAAAGAAGTTAAACAAAATTTGTCGTTCAATTTAAGATCACCTATTGAACTACATCATGCTGACTTAAATAGACCACTGGTGCTAATGTATTTGTCTTTCCCCCTGTTAAATCAGTTTTCACCTTGTCACTTTTTTTTCTTTTTTTCTTTACTAGATGCAGGGTCAGTCTCCTCCCGCCCCCATCCGTGGCACCAAAAAAGCAGGAGCAGAAGAGGAGGGAGACGCTGCTGAAGAAGAGGAGGTGGACGGTGGAGCCGGAGACATCATGGACTTGCTGCCCAGAACTAATATCAGGTCTGTGAGAGCGTAACGATACTCCAGAAAAAGTTATTTTCAAATGATACATTCAAGTTTTTGGATCCCAGTGCAAACAACAGTTGAGATTAAGTGACTGTTTCTCGTTCACAGTGATAAAATCACATCGGACATGGTGTCCAAGATTAGCGACAAGAACTGGAAGATAAGGAAGGAGGGGCTTGATGAGGTGGCAGCAGTCATTTCTGAGGCCAAATTCATCCAGGCCAACATCGGCGAGCTGCCGATGGCGCTGAAGGGTCGTCTCAACGATTCCAACAAACTACTGGTAATTCATATGAATCTAGTTTAGTGTGTTTTTGATGCTCCCCATTGCCATCCAGGCATTTCAGTTGTAGCATTCAATGGCATGGTTGTAATTGCATAAAATGTGTTTGTAGGTCCAGCAGGCTCTCAATATTCTGCAGCAGATAGCCACTGCCATGGGTCCCTCTCTGAAGCAGCATGTCAAGAACCTGGGAATTCCAGTAATTACTGTTCTTGGTGACAGCAAGGTATGAAACGCTGATTGGGAGTTCTTACACTTCTTGTGTTGCTTGTCTGGCTGTTGGCTGTTCAGATAACCTTCAGCTAGAGAGAGTGAATTGTTTCTAATTTGCTTGAAATTTGACTTTTCAGCCCAACGTCCGTGCTGCTGCCTGGTCAACACTGAATGCATGGGTGGAGCAGACTGGAATGAAGGAGTGGCTTGAAGGAGAGGACCTATCAGAAGAGCTCAAGAAGGAAAACCCCTTCCTCAGACAGGAAGTATGGCACTTGTGGTTTAGTCAAAGTTTTTTTTAAATAAAGTTAATAATAAAAGAATATGGAGCTCATGTATAAAAGACATGGCTAAAACACACAACTTTTAACAACCTTGCATGTTCAGTGATCACAAGCTAAAATGCTGTTAAAATTCTGTAGATGTTGGGCTGGCTTGCTGAGAAGCTGCCCACACTGCATACGGTGCCCGCAGACCTCATGCTGTGCGTGCCTCACCTGTACGCCTGCCTGGAGGACCGCAGCGGCGATGTGCGCAAGAAAGCTCAGGATGCGCTTCCCACCTTCATGATGCACCTGGGCTATGAGAAGATGAGCAAGGCTACCGGCAAACTAAAGGCAAGTGGGAGAAGTAATGAACTTTCAGCAGCCCTTACTCCACTTGTCAGTGTCACATGATCCATCAGGGATCATTCTAATATTCTGATTTGCTGCTTGGTTGTACTGCTTAATATGTTTGTGAAATCAGTTAAATATAAATGTCAAAAAAGCACTTATTTGATGTCTTTTGTAACACTACAAATGTCTTTACTGTCACTTTTTGATCACTTTAATG